CTGGTAGCGTAGTGGTTACGAATCGGGTTTCTAACCTCAAGGCTGGCAGTTCGAAACTACCAGCCATTCCGTGGGAGAAAAATGAGGCTTTCTGCTCCTGTAAAGACTTACAGCCTCGGAAACCCTGTGCAGGGTCACTATGAATCGGAACCAACTCCATGGTACTTAACAACAACAACATACTCTGAAGGTACAGTAGTAATACTAGATAATTACAAACAAAGCTATTTTTCTGTCTCAGGCACCTCCATGTTATCACATAAGGCATCTGTAAACATAACAGAAGGTTAAGTGCAAGGTTTATTCCATGACAATTTTATTGTTTACAAAAAACAAAAAATCCAGACTTAAATTACTAACACCAACAATCACATTTGACAAGACTAATTCCCTTTTGGGCTCCTGAAAAATAATATATACTAGACAGAAAATAAGTATAGACTCTTGGGATGATATAACAAGCTTAAATTACACCATATTGTATATATAGTCTTTGTTTATGAGGTAACATAACACTTAGTAAAAAATTACCTCCTCCTATCCATATGCTTCTTTTTCATGTTCTCTCCTTTTTTCCTTCATTAGTTTCCAGCCCACCTTCTGTGACTGTCATGTTCATGAATGAGAAATGCTAAGCCTTCAAATTTTATATCCAAAACCAAAATAACTTAGATGAGAGCTATTTAAAGATGTTTAGGGTTTAGTAGCAGTGTGCTTCAGCATATGTGAGGTACTATTAATAAACCATGATACCGTATCTGCTTCTACTTAAAAAAATAAGATTAAGTATCTCTCGATCATTTTATAGGCATTGTTGGATAGGTGCTTATCATAGAGTGGATATCGAAGAACAGAGAATAAAAAGACTGAGCCAGATTGCATGGACTGGAACCCTGGCTCATGTACCTCATGGTTTGGGCAAATTACCCTGTGTACCAATATTTCCTCAACTATAAAAATGAGAATGATAATATCTTCTATACTTTTTATCAGTATTTAATAAGTTAATAATACATTTAAGCATTAATAGCAGCTGACTTAATCAAAATGTGTTAACAGTTATTATTATATATCATGTTACTTTACATGATTATTGAAAATGCATTATTTTCTTTAGAAAGATACAGAACTTGGTAACTGTCCAAGTCATTAATTTTTCACTTAAATGTTCAATTATAATCTCACCATTCAGTTGTAGATTCCCAAACCACTGTTGCATCACCTCAGTATGAGATGTCTTGTCTGAAAATGGAAAAGGAGTTTTTCTTGGACAAAGATGATTGGAGCTAAACATGCAAAATAACAAATTCCATCAATTAATAAAAATGTATCAGGTTAACTTTGAAAAATAAAACATTTTAAAAAGGAGCTTTCTTCTGATTTGAACTGAAAATTCTTTCTTTCTCTGTGTAGAAGAGGAAACTAAATATTTCCAAGTATTAAATACGCTATACTCAAGAATATATAGACATCTTTTTTAAAAAGATTTCCAACCACAATTGAAAACTTAAAAATGATCATTTTGATCTTCCCCTTAATAAGAAATAAGAAATAGGGAATCATATTTGAGAATTACCCCAGGAGCATTCAAGAGTGTTAAAAAGAATAGGCATTTATTACCCTAGTAAACCTGCTTAGTTAGAAGCTTCATATTTGTGCTATGAATATTTGCCAAAATTAAAAGTTTTGAATAAAATTATTCTTACAGTGCTTGATCATTTTCAGGTCTTTCAAAAGATCCAGAACTATCAGATGTCTTTTCTTTAAAGAAGTGAAAAATGTTGGCATTGCTGTTTATAGGTGAGTTTCTTCCTTCATTTATATCCACTCCTGATCTTTTAGACCTTGAAAGCATTTCTGCTGAATGACATCGTTCCATTGCATACGTTTTTGGACGAGACTGATTATTGGAAGTGCCAGATCTATCAGAGGAATGGGCTCTACGAAGGTATCGAGAATGTGGCCTTTCTTCTGCATCTTGGATTACTCGTCCCCTTCCACTATTAGTAGTTTCTTGCTCTTGGTTTCCCCACTGAGTATAAAAACTACTTCCATCTCCTGAAGTAGAAAAATCACTTGAATTTTTATTCTTTGGAAATAGAGTCATTTTATTTGGGAGTGGCTGTCCAATCAAAAGTCTTCTCCTATCAAACAAACTACCACTTATACTGGAACTAGAAGAAGCTGTAATTGCAGTAGAAATTGTGGCATGTCCACTATCAATAGAGTCTTCAACAGTTCCCAAATCTTTACTTTTTGTTGAAGAATTTCGGGACATAAAAGGATGGTCTAACACTGAAGACAGACTTAAACGGTCTGCTGGATTCCTACGAAGTAACTGGTGAATAAGGTCCTTGGCCTCTCTTGACAAAAACAGAGGCATTTCATAGTCTGCCAATACTACTTTATTTAAAGTGTTCTTGACTGTATCTGTGTCAAACGGTGGTCGCCCAATAAGTAATGTATAAAACATACAGCCCAAGGACCAAACATCAGATTCAAGTCCATGTGCACTTCGAGTTGCAATTTCTGGTGAAATATAATTAGGAGTTCCACATAATGTATAATGCTTTTCATGTGGCATTTTCAATTGAGTTGCTAGACCAAAATCAGCAATCTTGACATTCATATTACGTGTAAGTAAGAGGTTAGAAAGTGTGAGGTCCCGATGTAATATACCATGAGAATGAAGATACAACATTCCTGTGATGATCTGATGCATGAAGAGTCGAGCTGTCAGGATACAAAAAAATAAAACATAATTATTTTAAAACCTGGAACATTACATTGCATTATGTGTATTAAATTCATTATGAAACCCTGGTACAAAAGTCACAGTAATACATCTGAATACTGGCTACAGCTCAGCTTATTAACAAAAATACTACCCTGATAATTTCAAAACTAAAATGATGTCAGTTTGAGGACTAGGGTATGCATGGCCCAAACCATATTTTCAATAGCCTCATATGCATGTGAAAGTTGGACAATGAATAAAGAATACCATAGAAGAATTGATGCATTTGAATTAAGGTGTTAGAGATTATTAAAAGTACCATGGACTGCCAGAAGAACGAAGTACAGGCAGAATGCGCCTTAGAAGCCTTTCCAGACATATTATCATGAGGGACCAATTCCTGGAGAAGAACATCATGCTTGGTAAAGTGAATGGGCAGTGAACAAGAGGAAGACTCCCAACAAGATGGATTGGCACAGCGGTAGCAGCAGAGGGCTCAAGTGTAGCAATGACGGTGAGGATGGTCCTGGACCAGGGAGTGTTTCATATTGTTTACTGCACAGGGTCACTATGAGTCGAACTAACTCAACTGCACCTAACAACTATTTCACAAAATTTTTTCTAATTCCCTTTAATACAGCTGTTGTTGTTGTTAAGTGCCGTCGAGTCGGTTCCGACCCATAGTGACCCTGTACAGGGTTTCCAAGGAGTGACTGGTGAGCTTGAACCACTGACCTTGTAGTTCAAACGGCTTTGCAGTGTGACACATTAACTCACAGCACCACACCAGGACTCCTTAATACAGCTAGGTACCTTTATTTTTTTAAACCTCTCCCTTTCTAACAGATAAAATTTCAATATTTTAATTAATATTTCAATAATACTTATTAGTGCTTGGGAGTGGTTAGGATAATGAGGTTAATCAGAAATCCATAACAAAAGAATTACTTGTAGCTCCATAAGCAACTCATAAATGTATTTTTAAACCCAAATCAATCCCAAACCCAATAACTGATTCCAACTCATAGCAACCATGTACATGGTTTCCAAGGAGTGGCTAGTGGGTGTGAACCACCAATCTTGCAGTCAGCAGACAAGTGCCTACCTTACAGTATCATTAGTGACTCTATAGCACAGAATAAAACTGCTACCTGGGGTTTTCAGGAGTATAGGCATGGATTACTAATCTCAAAGTAGTCAGTTTAAATTTATCATCTGCTCTAAAGGAAACCCTAAACAGGGTCGTTATGAGTTGGAAACCACTTGATAGCACTTAACAATAACACAGGGTTTTCAAGACTGTCAGTCTTTACAGTAGCATACATCTTCATCTTTCTCCCTTAAAGAGGCTGTTGGGTTTGAACAAACTGACACAGCACTGGAGGCAATCACTCATCTCTGCCAAGAAATTTGGAGAACAACTACCTGGCCAACTGATTGGAAGATATCTTTATTTGTGCCCATTCCAAAGAGAGGTGACCAAAGGAATGTGGACATCATTGGATAATATCATTAATATTGCATTGAAGCAGTTTTGCTAAAGATAATTTAAAAAATAGCAGCAACAGTAGATTGAGAGGGAACTACCAGAGGTTCAAACCAGATTCAGATGAGGACAAGGAAAGAGGGACCCTCATTGCTAGTATTAGATCGGTCTTGGATGAAAGCAGAGAATACCAGGAAGATATTTACCTGTGTTTTATTGACTATGCGAAGAATTTTGACTATGTGGATTATGATAAACTATGGATAACATTGCAAAAAAAAAAGTACTCTGGAATGTTTAACTGTGCTCATGAGGAACCTGTACATAGACCAACAGGACATACATAGACAAATAGAACAAGGGAACATGAATGGCTTAAAATTAGGAAAGGTATGTGCCAGGGTTGTATTCTTTTACCATACGTATTCAATCTATTCTGAGCAAATAGTCCAGGATACTGGATTATATGAAGAAGAAATGTGGCATCAGGATTAGAAGAAGACTCATTAACAACCTGTGATATACAGGTGATACGACCTTGTTTGTTAAAGTGAAGAGGACTTAAAATATTTACTGATGAAGATCACATACTACAGCTTTTGGTATGGATTGTACCTCAGTGTAAAAAAAACAAATATCTTTACAACTGGACCAATTAATATCATGATAAATGGAGAAAAGACATCATTTTGCTTCACTATCAACTCTCATGGAAGCGACAGTCAAGAAATTAAATGACATATTGCATTAGGCAAATTTGCTGCACAAGATCTCTTTTTTGCACTCCAATAGACACTATTCATTTTATTAGTCATGCAGGAGGATGTCTTGAGAGCATGAAATCTGTGTACCTTCCCCATGGTAGGCCACAGGCTAAGAGCCTTGGGCAATTCCCCCAAGAAAATCTCTTCAGGAAGAGCACTCCCCAGCTGAACCCCACAGCTAAACAGGTCTGAGAAGTCAGCCGCTGCCCTGGGAAGCCAAAGCCCGAACCTAGCATCAGATTGTTGTTAAGTGCAAGAACAGAACTATATAAAGAATGTGTACATCCACTCCCTAGAATCTTTAGGCTCCCACTGACCAGACACTGAAGAGGCAGGAAGCAGAATGGATAGAGCAGCTGTGATGAGATGTAATTTGCTAAAAGGCTAACATCACCTGATACGTTGCTATGTGTAAGAGAAAGCTCTTAAAAAACCTGATATCAGAAGTCTGGACACAAGACACATGGATCCTATTATTCACAGTACACATACACAGCTTCAAGATGATCACAATAATGCATTGGAAGGGTGGGGTGGGAGGGCATCTCAGGTGGAATAATTCAAGATTTGTCTAACTCAAAACCAAAATATGCTGACATCACCTAGCTCCTGTTTGCTCTGGAGAGAAATGATGAAGGTTTAGGGACAGTCTTTCATGGACTGTCCCAGTCGGCTGTACAGCAAATGACTAGTAGGTATCAAGGAAGAGGAATACAGGCTCCTTCTTCACGTTAGAAAACGCCATTCACAGGAATCCAAACTTATAAAAGAACACTTAATTTTCTGTACTGGGGTGACTGCCAGGGGCCGGTAGCTTGTGCACTGTACATTCCTGTTCCTTAAATTCATTCTGTGTTTGGGTAAGGCTGCAGTCACTGCTGACCTAGGGTCATCGCCCCACCTGCTAGAAACCTTTTATGGAAGTAACTGGAAAATATGATTAAAATGATCCCTTAACATATAACCAATGTCCTAATATTACCTAAATAGCAAAGCATCTTTGGGATTGGATCACCAATAACCATGCTTTTAATTGATGGAAATTTTTGAAGAAACACCTAGATCTACAATCATGAGATGACTGTAAGGAGGTCTGACCCCAATGACTGAAGATCAAACATGCCCTTTTATGTGTATTTCTACCATGAGTATGTCCTCTTTGGTAAAAGGTCTGTTTAAGTCTTCTGCCCGTTTCTGACTGGGCTGTTAGTTTTCTTAGTGTTGAGTTGGGACAATTCCTTATACGTTCTGGATTTGCAAGATCTCGTTAAAGTGTTCAAGAGCAAAGATGTCAGTCTGAGGACTAAAGGGCACCTGATCCAAGCCATGGTATTTTCTTTCAGTAGCTTCAAATTCAGGAGTCCTGATGTGGCACTGCATGATAATGCACTGGACTACAAAGTTGGTGCGAACTGCAAGGTCACTGGTTCAAACTCATCAGCTGCTCCTTGGAAATGCCATACAGACTATGAGTTGGAACAGACTTGACAGCACAACATATAAATGTGAAAACTGGACAGTGAATAAGGAAGACCATAGAAGAATTGATGCTGTTACGTTATAGTGTTGGAAAAATTAAAAGTAACAAAGTCTACTAGAAGAACAAACCTATCTGTTCTGTGTTGGAAGAAATATAGCCAGAATGCTCCTTAGAAGCCAAGATAAGCAAACTTAGTTTGTCATATGTCAGACATATTTCAGAAGGCCCCAGTCCCTGAAGAAGGGCATCCTGCTTGGTAAAGTGGAGGGTCACTGAAAAAGATGAAGACCTCCAAGGAGATAGATAGATTGGTACAGTGGCAGTAGCTGTGGGCTCAAGTTTAAAAACGATTGTGAGGATGGTGCACGAGTGGCAGAGTTTTCTTAAGTTGAGCATAAGGCTGCTGTGAGTCAGAACTGGCTGGATGGCAACTAACTAATATAAAAAATGAAAATAATTTCATTTTTTCGACTATATAACAATTAAGATATTTATGACAGTACACATACCTTCATTTTTTCATTTTACTAATGGCTGAACATTTAGATTATTTTTATATTTTAAGATTATAAAAATACTTAGCAATAAATGTCTTTCTTCATGCTTATTTTCTTTTGCATATGCATACGGTATTTCCTTATGGTATATTCAAGAAACAGACCCACTACTTTGAAGGATACAAACATGCAGTATTTTCACCCTTGCCAAATTGCACTCCAGAAGGCTGGATTTTTCATGTACACTCTTTTTAACATTTTTTTTTTTTCAGTCAAGTGCCATTGAGTCAGTTCTGATTCATAGTGACCACATGTAGTAGGGTTTCCGAGGAGCAGCTGGTAGGTTTGAACCACTGACCTTGTGGTTAGCAGTACAGGGCTAACCATACCAGAACTCCTTTGTTGTTAGGTTGCCATGTGCCATTGAACAGAATGAAACACCACCCAGTCCTGCACCAGCCTCACAACTGCTCCTATGCTTGAGCCCACTGATGCTGCCACTGTACCAACCCCTCCACTTTACTAAGCATTATGCCCTTTTCCAGGGACTGGTTTCTTCTGATATGTCCGAACTATGAGAGGCAAAGTCTGGTCATCCTGGCTTCTTAGCAGCATTCTGGTTGTACTTCTTCCAACATAGATTGGTTTTTTCTTCTAGAAGTCCATTGTTGTTGTTGTTAAGTGCCGTCAAGTTGGTTCTAACCCATAGCGAGTTTCCAAGGAGCAACTGGTGAGCTTGAACCACCGACCTTGTAGTTCAAACGGCTTT